ATCATTTTGTTCAGCATACCTTAAAGAAATATAAATATAGGGATTTCAGAATTAGACCATGCCACAAACTCAATTATGATGATAATGAGAAGCGGATTGAATTTTGTCTTGTCATATCTGAAAGATTAAATATAAGTAAGTATAAGTGTGAGTGTTTCAGCAAGATTTTTATTAACTGAAAAATAGCACTCCAAAATATCTCTTCTTTGTTCCTTTGGATATGGAATCATGAAAAAATTGTCGAAATTTTTCGCACTTATGTCACTGGAATGTTGGCCAAATGTCAATTCACTTATTCATCATCTCATTCTATTTCAACCATAGCTAACTTGGACCAAATATTAATATTTAATTTTGCTGATATTTCGTCAAGCCCTCGATAGAATATATGAAAAGTATATATCTTCGAAATCAGGAAAGATAGCTCTTTCGAAATATGCGATAATATACAGGGGGTTTCATTTGAAAAAAAAATTTTTTTTACGAACCCTGTATATGAAATAATAAAATCAAGCAGAGAACACATTTTCCCAAGTTTCAAATATCTTGTTTCGTTTTTGAGATATCAGCTGTTGAAGTCGAGAAGTCCATAGTCAATCACCCTGTACAAAATTCTTATAGATACATGTCTGTACATGTCAAGTTTACGACAAAAAAAAGCTCTCGTCTCGCAGGGTTAAAAAGAGGCAAAGTTGCGTATTATGGAGCTCATTACTATAATGTTGAATAATCTGAGCTAGCCCTCTAACTTTCAGACATTTACAGGAAAAATAAAAAAAAAGATTTTTGCTTTTCAGCTATATCTGCTTTATTACAATACATTTTCAGAAACTGTTTGCACTTTGTCATTGCAACTTTCAATGAGCAATAAAAATATGTCAACGAAAGTGTTCTACAGGGTGTTGTTTTCCTTGGGCCACCCCTAACTATGATATTTTAAATACGGACCTGGATTTTATATTATGGATTTTGAGACCTTTCAATCTCCTAAAATCAACAATGTATCGCACTTGTTTGAAAAAGGTGTTTGTTTTTAATCCTATTAAAAATCTATTCTCTGTCTCTTTCCTACACATGACTTTTATAGAAAATGCCAATAATATGACTTTTTTGAATAAGTGCGGTACACCATTGAATTTTATGTCTTTTATCTATGACAAAGTGTAAACAGTTTCTGGAAATCTATTTTATTGAAGCAGATATAAGTGAAAAACAAAAATCAAATTTTTCGTTTTCCCCTGTATATCTCTGAAAGTGAGAGGGCTAGCTCAGATTATTCAACATCAAAGTAATCAGCTTTATAATACGTAACTTTGCCTCTATTTATCCGTTCCCAATATCCCTATGCATCTACCCGAATTTCCCTCACACGGTACTATAGATTTGATGAGTAAATATACCTTCTCCTTCAGAAGATATTGAAATAAAAACGGGAAGAAATGAGAGAAACTCCCTGTATCAAAAGGAAGAAGGAAAGCTCAAAGTCATCTCCACTATTTTATTACTGATGTAAATCAATCAATGTTGCGGACTTATAAAATTCCATCTTCAGCCGTTTTCAGAAGTTACTGCAAACAAAAAACGGCTGAAGATGGACTTTTATAAGTAAGTCCGAAACATGACCCCTTGATTGATTTACATCACTATTAAAGTAGTGGAGATGACTTTGAGCTTTCCTTCTTCCTTTTAAAAAATTCCACTCCACTTTGAGCAAACATGGACTTCTACCAGAGATTAACTCCCTGTATATTGATATGAAAACATACATTCGTATTATTGAAGCAAGATTACAAAATTGCAATAATTTCGAAACATGGTTTTTTCAATTTCGTTTCAAAATATGGACCCTTTGTTTATTAAAATGGTGGTTATACGAACACTAGTATCAATATGAGAAAACCTATTTTTTATGGAAAAATGACAGCATAAATTTTCGACATACATTTTTCAAATGGAACACCCCGTATAAAATCTTTTCATAATTCTCAACAGTTTCATCTTATACACTTTTCTCCTGAATTCAATAGTTTTTGAAAATAAACAATTGAAAAGTGGTATTTTGGCCATTTCAAACTCAACCAAAAACTCGAATATGCATTTCCATCAAGTTTGTTTTGGAAAAAAATCGTCGCTATTTATATCGTCTTGACTTTTTTTAAAGCAAACTGGATTGTAAGCAACATTCGAGTTTTTAGTTGAGTTTGAGATGGCAAAAATGTCACTTTTCAGACTTCATTATTTCAAAAACTATTGAATTTAAAAGTGAAATGAATTCATGAAACTGTTGAGAATTATGAAAAGATTTCGAATATGGAACAATATACATGTTGTTCCATTTAAAAAAATAATTCATTATGGTGCTTAGCTGCCATTTTGGAACTTTAAGCTTTAATTTTTCCATAAAAAAGTAGGATTACATCTCCTATTTAAGCCCTTTGGATTTCGTTGCGATATACCAGATGTTTCGAAAATTACTAGGGGGGGGGGGACATACTTTAGACGGGCACAGTATAGGTAAAGAAAGCGAATTTATGTTTTCTTTCCTCGGAAACATGTAAATATACCGAAGCAAAATACCAACTACGAAATGAATTCCTACATATTCATATACAAAAACACTTACCATCTTGAAAAAATACAACTTTCACACACATTCACTAAACCGAAAATGAATTTTAATTTTCCACATAAATACTGCTAATGAATTCTTTTTTTATATCACTTGAATCGACCGTACACGATGAAATCTAGAACGAGACTGCTGATTGTTTTGATTCACCATTCTAATGACTAATAGGTTACGTCATCCTTTCAACCGATAAATTCACAAACAAGTATGACTAATTCCGAACTAATCTCTTATCTCTTTCAGCTATAGGGTGTTGAAATTGTAAGAAGGAATTAGGTTTTTTATCATAACTGCAATACTGTTCTAGATATTTTCATGGAATTTGACATGCACCTACTGAACACCATGTGGTAGTTTGTAGGTAATATGTGTATTTGTCTAATTTTTATTGAAGTAGAGTCAATTGATCGAATTAGCCAAGAGTGAAATTGTTGCAAAATAAACGAGGATTTCAAAATTGATATTTTTTTTCGGAAAAAGCAAGGGCGTACCATATTATTTTAGAAAAATCTCTATTATAAATCCTATACGGACGCCACTAGTAAAAACATTAAAAAATGCCTTTTGGTGTTCAGTAGGTGCATGTTAAATTTCATGAAATTATCCAGAACAGTATTGAACTTATGATGAGAAAGAGATTTTTTTTTTAAATTTTAACCATTTATAGCTCGAAAGTTAAGAGTTTTAGGGCATATGTTCATGTTATCTTTTATTATTAAAATGAGGTGAAAATTACACCTTGTATAATCTTAATCTTCCGAAATTATCGAGGTGTACTTCGACGTCCCTAGCGTAATTATAATAATAATACATAATAATAAAATCTGATAATATCAGATATGGAACATACGATTTATGATCAAAAATAAATATGACCGTGATTTCGTTCAAGAGCTTGTCTACGAATGGTCATACTGTTGTAAACCAAAGTTATTATTTGCTTTTGTAGAATAGTTAATAAATTTTAGTGTGATTTCAGTAATCATTATATCTTCTTAGAATTTGCTATTATAATATTTTTCCTGATTCTCTCAGCAGACATTTGAAACTTCAGTTCTTATCAATCATGAAAATAAGTATAGATCTCATTATTTCTCTCCATTTGGAAATGCATTTCGTTATTTTATTCATGTGTACAATTGAATATCAGAACTACTTTCTATATCATAACCATGTTTAGTTAGTTAGTACACAACCTTTCGAAACATAACATCGCCTAACTCAATTTTCGAACCAAAATTCCTATGTTTATATTTTTGTAAAGTGTTTTAACAAAATTTCGAAGTGAAGTGGAAAATAAACGCGTATTGGTAAAATACATTCACTCTTATTATTTGGTCTACCACAAATTCCAAATACCTCTGTGTAATTCTGGTACCTCTTCCAGAAGTTTTTTTCCCACGAAAAAAGGTAAGATTACAACAATACTACCTGAAACAGATACCTTTATATTTCAAATCATGACTGTGTGCTATTTGTGTTTTCACTTGAACATTAATCTGACTAAATTTTTTAATAATACACACACTGCATTTAGTAGTAGAAAACAAAACGACAATAATATTTTTTTCTGCAACCGACAGAAAAGTCGTCCATTTCAATTCCAAAATTAGCTCTTGAATTGACGTTTTTATTACTGTTACAAACATGTGTATGTCCAGCAATACTTTTTTATCTCACACAACGATATTGTTTACCTTCATTTGATTACCGAGCCAAACACAGTGGAGTATGGAGATAAATAAATAATCGCGATTATTATTGTTGATATGCGCACTAACCTAACATTTTCCACTTCTTTTTCCTATTCACTATTTGGGTTGGCACCTGGTCCAAATGAATTATCGATATGACGTCAATAGAATACACAAATTGGTCTTTCTGTAGTTGTATTTATATTGAAACTACAATTCGAACATCCTTGAAAATTGAATAAACCTGATCTGTAAATGCAGGTAGAATATTCTCACCACACGGATTATTTGTTGTATTGCATACATTATGGCACGGCATCCACGTTACGGGCAATCGAGTAGTCTCTGATGACATGATGCACATCAACACAAATTGTAACAAAGTAAAAGTAGTCCGAGGACTTGCTTCTATCTACTTACTCATATTATTATAATAATCTTTCAAGTGAGTCACATTGGTGGTTACTTATATTCATTTTAGTCAATTCTTTCAGTTGCAGAAAAAATAGCATGTTTCATTCGGATCAAAAGTGACTTTGTTTGACTCGCAAATTTAGTTTTCGCTCGGCTTTGCTGGACGCTCCGCCTCGCAAATGCAAAATTCGCTTGTCAAACAACGTGTAACTTTTGATCCTAATAAAACAATCTATTATATGCTAATAAATGCGATCTTTCAGGCACACGGTGAAAAAAATGTCGAAGGAAATCTGCAAGCTCTTCTCGAAAAAATTCAGCATCGACGTGGCCGAAGGTGGCAAAGTGAAGAAACACTCGCGCAACGAGTTCAACTTCGAGGCCACCACGCACAAGTGCCAGAGCCTCAGCTACTTCGACCAGCACCTGGTCTCGTGGCAGTGCAGCGTGACCGTCATCGAGATCCTCAACTCCTTCGCCACCGGCAACTCCAACTACCTGCCTGTGCAGGAGCACGTGGCTTTCCTGTTCGATCTGATGGAGCTGGCGTCGAACATCCACGGGCTGATCGACGTTTGCATACAGATATTGAAGGAGTTGCCCGAGGTGGAGAACCAGCTGTACAACAAGAATCTGATGTTGAGCAGGAATTACACGACGTCGTTGAGTTTGTACGTGGTCGGGGTGCTGAGGCGGTACCACTGCTGTCTTTTGTGTAAGTTTTTTGATACATTAACTGCCAAGCACAGATCTATACATCGGGACGATTCTGTTTGCAAAGCACATAACGTTAGACAGCTCAGAGCGCAGTTGCCGAGTTACCAACTGATATATACCGATTGTTTGTTCACATAGAACGTGGTTTGGTTTCGCCGAATAAGGTACTCATATAATGAATGATATATTGTTATCCATTCAATTGTCGACTAGTGATAGGTAATAATCGCGTATGATAATTTCCAAAAAAACTCAACTATATTTTGCGATCGAGTTTTACCGACTTTTGGGGACGTTGGCTTAGCAATATCAACAACTGGTGTCATCAAAATCAATATCGGTTGGCGGAATCAGACGTTTTCAACAACTTTGGAGCTTTCCTGTTCGATCTGATGGAGCTGGCGTCGAATATTCACGGGCTGATCGACGTTTGCATACAGATATTGAAGGAGTTGCCCGAAGTGGAGAACCAGCTGAATCAACCACTGTTGTCTTTTGTGTGAGTGATTCGATAAATTCACTGCTAAGCAAAGATCTAATAATCGGGTCAATTCTCTTTGTGAATAGCAATATGGTTGCCGAGAAGTTATTGCTATCACAGCAAGAATCGAAAAAGTAGGATTTTGGGCAATATGACGTAGCTTTCTTGCTATCCCGGCAACATCAATTTTGTGCTTGCTATCTTATAACAAGAATAACAATGGCAGTAGATTCTTTGTTTTTAGTGTTTGAAAATACAGAAAATGGGTGATTTTAAACATATAAGAAGTTCACTTGTGGTATTATGAGACCACAATTTCAGCATGTAAGAGATACCAACAATCCATTTGAATTGCCTGATTGAATGTTTATCAAGCCATTCCACTTAATTATCAAGCCAGTGAGTTTTTCCGGTTCTTAGAATCCAATTCTTTTCCAAAAAATTCATAGAATCCATTCTCCAAGTCCGTGGAATAACTGCATCAATTTCAATGAAATTAAACAAAATTTGAGGTTAACAATTCTTGGCACAATAACAACAATCAGTGGTAGGCGTGGCGAAATGTCGTTCACCGTTTTCATTGGTTACGGCCAAATGAACACATATCCAGAAAACCTCGTAACTCCACAGAATTCGTTATAGTTTCAAAACTTTTTTTTAGGTATCATAACTCAAGCATTATCGTTGAAAATGATCATCGAAACCTCGTGAGTGCCAACCTGCTCTACTTCACACTCCAGTCACATGTTAACACATTCAGTGTTTACAGGTGATCTCGAAAGTGAAGCATCCTTTTCAACATGTAAAACTTATCAAAATAAACCATTCCACCAAAAAGCACATGTAGAGACAAGTTAGACTTGTATCTCCAATTTTGCATATAGAATTATATAAGGAAAGCTTGGAGCTTCCAAAATTCATTGTGAAGCTGAAAACAGTTTTACTGGCCTCCTGATCATTTAGTGATTGTGGAGTCGAGGGGTTTTCTAATTAGGGTGACGATATGTGTTCCAGTGTCCCCCTAGTGCCTCTGCAAGGTGGTGAAGCACGTGTCGGACCCGGGCGATTGCAGCTCGGCCGAGCGCTGCATTCTCGCCCACCTCTACGACCTCTACTCTGTCGGTTATACTTATTTTAAAAGTCGTTTTAAAACACTTTCCACTGAACAACCTCGTCATGGATGTAGGTCGATAAGGAACATTTCGAATGTGTATTCCAGTGTCGCCCGAGCAGACGTCGGCAGTGTTCGAGGGCCTCTGCAAGGTGGTGAAGCCTCTGTCCGTTATACTTATTTTAAAATTCGTTTTGAAACACTTTCCACTGACCCACTTGGTTATGGATGTAGGTCGATGAAGAACATGTCGAATGTGTTTTCCAGTGTCGCCTGAGCAGAAGCCTCTCCAAGGTGGTGAAGCCTCTGTCCGTTATACTTATATGTATGTATGTATGTATATATGTGTGTGTGTGGGCGATCCGGGACCTGAAGCACTTAGGCCTCCCTTTTCGGGCCCATTGTGCACCCACATTCCTGGGATCGCAAGTCAGCCATAGAGAAAGCCGATCTCGCGAGCATAAGAGACCAACTTTCTAGGCCAAATCTTTTTAACATCCTCTGGGTCCAGGATACTGCCCCCAAAATGGATATCCTTTGCTGCCACTACTGCCGGGCATTCAGTGAGGATGTGAGTAGAAGTCTTTTGGACTGCCTCATTCCAGGAGCCTCTCTCCACCGTTATACTTATTTCAAAAGTAGTTTTAAAGCACTTGCCACTGAACAGTCTCGTTATGGATGTAGGTCGATAAGGAACATTCCGAATGTGTTTTCCAGTGTCCCCCGAGCAGACGTCGGCAGTGTTCGAGGGCCTCTGCAAGGTGGTGAAGCACGTGTCGAACCCGGGCGACTGCAGCTCGGCCGAGCGATGCATCCTCGCCCACCTCTACGACCTCTACTCCTCCTGCAGCCTGCTCAAGTCGAAGCCGCACGCCGTCGAGCCCTTCGGCAACGCCTATCCCAAGATCAAGCAGGTGAGGATAAACCTAGAATACGTCTTGTGTAGTTCACGAACAAACTAGTTCTGAAAAACGATCCCTGAATAAATTGAGCGAACTAGTTTGTTGTGGATTTGGGTTTCAGTTCGTTAGGTCACGACAAACGTTGACGTGATAGTCAGAAAGTGCATCGCTGAGATTGTTTCTTGTCCTATCCTTCATCATTGAAATTATGAATAATCACTTTTCAAGTATTCATTCTGCTACTCAGTTTTTTGTTCTATACAGGCACTATACACGTCGCCTCAGCCCACGCCCAGCAACGTGTACGTTTACAACCCGCAGTGCATGCAGGAACTGTTCCTAAGCCCGAGAAGGGCCGGCAGGATCGATAGCGTGTTAGCGAAGCAGCTCAACGAGAACGGAAACAACAGGTGACTCAGCTGATCTTTATCAATATTTCATAACTACGTCTTTCCCAGTAGTATTTCGTTAAGCGTCAAATGTACCCAGGACGTTTATAATATTTCTTTGCAGTTAAATCTACAAATGTAAACAACTTCACTAACGATAAGATTTCCTCAAAACTAACGATAAGATTTCCTCAAAATTCTTAATCACACGACATGTTATTGTCCACCAGATCGCGCTACTGAAACGTGAGGTCAGAGTTGGTAGAACTGATAAATAAAATTCTTCTTTTCGTGTCATTTAGCCTCTTCCCTTCTTCTTCTCCGTCAATGTAAGAATTGATCGTAAAGTTCCACATTGAGAGTAAAAAAACGTGAGTCTCTTCAAGTATTTCCATAACATGGGGTTTTCAGTTTGTTCAAATATTCTACATCATTTCTTCCGAATATTTCCTTCAATCATGCTAAAGCCTTTAGGACTATCCGGCAAAATTTTGGGATTTTCGACTTTGACATTGACCTCACGTTTTAGTAACTCCCTCATTCAATAAATCTACAAAGTTATACCTCTGAAGTTAGGTAGGTTGACTACACATGTGTTTCAATGCAATGTTATTTCAAAACCCACACTTCTGCTACCATAATTCAATGCAAATGGCAGCCAATGAAGATGCATCTGATAACGAAACTAACGAGAACAAATTAATTCTTTATTGTCTTATTTTCTTTGATTTACTTTGCTACAGATCTATCCAAATACGAAACTACAATATGAATTGAACAATATTTGCATTGAAAAAAAAAACGATCCTATCAGTCGGTAATACTGCCAAGTCTCTCATCAATCACAGGTACATCAAAAACATTGACATCGTCAGAATTTTCACAACTACCGGCAAGTCGTGTTTTCAAGAATACAATAGAATATTTCTTGATAGACGACAGCCTGACAAAATAAGAATTTTGGGCACAGTTTCTAGTAATCGACTTCATTTCAACCCGATACTGGCAATCTGTAAACCGGAAATTGAAAACTACTATTTTTATTTTGATGTATTTAAAAACAAATGAGCCAAGCCACACCTCTGGTACGTTATGGCTTTCAACGTCCTGTGCCTCTTAATTGTCCCTACTTGGGAGGTTACAAAGAATGATAGAATATTCCAAATAACAATGGAGTAGATGAGATGGATGGCAGAACCCACTTTACACCAGTAAACCCGCCATATACAAATATTTCAGAACGATTGCAGAGTTCAGGGGTGACATCCATAATTTATGTCACAGAAAAGAACGGATAAAATCATTAGTTTTCAACTGCAACACAATAACAATATTGGTGATCTAAATTGAGGTTATAGTATCTTGTGCAAGTCGTATTTTCAAGAATACAATAGAATATTTCCTGATAGACGACAGCCTGTTAAAATAAGAGTTTTGAGCACAGTGTGCAGTAATCGACTTCATTTCAACCCGATGCTGGCAATCTGAGAACCGGAAATTGAAAAACCCTATTTTTATTTTGATGTATTTAAAAACAAATAAGCCAAGCCACACCTCTGGTACGTTATGGCTTTCAACGTCCTGTAGTTCTTCATTGTCCCTACTTGGGAGGTAACAAAGAATGATAGTATATTCCAGATAACAATGGAGTAGATGAGATGGATGGCAGAGCCCGCTTTACACTATGATACCCGCCATATACAAATATCGCAGAGTTTAGGGGTGACATCCATAATTTAATTCGCAGAATAGAACGGATAAAATCATTAGTTGGTGATCGAAATTGAGGTTATAGTATCTTGCTGTTAGTGGCTAGTGGATGATTATGGAAGTATGATAGACTGGCCTGACGTCTACCTCATTACACACTTTATTCTTGAGTGGAATGTCCTGTATGTCCTCAATATTCCTTGAAAATCTATAGTTCAACTCGAAAAATCCTGTATTTTATAGGTATTCCTTTGTGAGTAATGCTGTGATCCACGTCTGTCGTGAAACTGATAACGAAAGATTGAACGACCTGGCAATATTGTGTGCAGAGATGACTGCCTGCTGTAATTCATTAGCTTCTGAATGGTTAGGGGTTCTTTTGACCCTTTGCTGTCCTTTATCTCATCCCGGATATTATGCGGAAATTTTAAATCAGTTGGATATTCAAGTGAGTTGAACTCTAAACGATTTTCGCCCTCTTGATCATTAATATTGCATTCCGTGAATTTTTGTTTTTCAGGATGTCAGTATTCACAATGCTCTAGCAGTATTCACTTGCATTTTAATTGCAAGACATTGCTTCTCTTTGGAAGATTTTGTGAGGAGGGTAGCTCTACCTAGCTTACTGAAGGTGAGTTTAAGTATTGTCGAATTTTCATCATCATCATTATACTTCATGCAGTATTTACTTTTTATTTTTCTCATGGTTTTCAGCCACAAACTGAGTATCCACTACAAGGTTGTGTGCTGAAATCTGCAGACGTTAGTAATAAATGTTTTATTGGTGTTTGATGTTACTTTTAGCCTTGATATATTTTTTCTACCCATCTTATCAACTGTTTCTTATAAATCTCAATGAAACTTTATTTCAAATTTCTATAAAAATTCTTGACAAGTAAATAATCATATAGTGCATAATATTCCAACCAATCATTCAGAATAGTTGTAAATGAAAAATGCATAAATAAATTAATTTCTATAGATAGGTCTTGACTGTATAATGATTATGAAAATATGCATTCAAAATCCGACAGAATACTAGGTTTTGTCAAGGTACATTTATTACAGAAGGTTTCATCATTCATATCGATTCAAACAGTTGAATTTTCAAAAATTTCAATCACTTTTTGAGATGAGAAGAAATTGGTTGTCTGATTTCTGACAGAATCGCTCCTGCGCAAGTCGGCTATTTTTTTGAGAATACAGAATAACTAATGAAAGATAAAAATGAATTTGGATGCATGAATAGTTGAATGGAAATACAATGTTTTAACTTCTTAATGAAACCGTTATTGATTGTGGAATTACAGTGTATAACAAAAATAATGTTTTTGCTATGTGTTACTAATAAAATATTGAAAACATCAGTTTATTCAATTGACGTTTGAGATATTGAGATACAATAATTATTACAAAAAATAATCTCCCATCATGCTGAAGAAAGATAAAAGTTAATTCATTCATACTTTTTTTGTTGATGTTCTCAGAAGTTGAGTTAATTCATTAAATAGAAGCTGAAAATATTTGAATATTTTTAGGTTGAATGTTGACATAAGTAGACCCATAAAATGAGATCATCAATTATAAATATCAACATTCTCAAACTAATTTCAAAGCATTCAGACTTATGTTGATGAAAATGTTCTTATGCTCTGAACATATACTACATTTATTAAAATTTTCAATGAATTCAGTGCATTTTTGAAAAGTGGCGGGTGGCTGAAAGTTGTTTTTTTTCGTCAAAAGTCTTCGTATTGATGAAACATAATTCTCAAATCATTGAGTTTGTAATAAAAACTGATCATCAGGCACTGAAGTCAATCTTTTTATATCCACTATGACATTTCAAAAGGAATTCCCAGTTGAATAATTCATTTGACAACAGCAAATGACAGTTGTTGTCAACTCACTCTTCACGTGTACCAGGGTTGCCAGTTCGTTTTTTAGTCCATCAGTGAATACCTTGTCAAAAATTCAGAAGAAATAGGTCTATTTAAAATCTATTTTATGCTATATATACGAATTCCAAGAAAATATAATGAAATGAACCTATGACGTCAAAACATTATGTACTTTGAGTACACAGAAAAGTAACCTAAAACCAACAAAATTGAAACAAAAAAAAGAACATTCTCGTAAAAAAATACTCATATTACTCATTATTCCAAATTTTTTGAGATTTTTTCTCCTCGTTTCTATAAAATAAAAATATGAATATTATTTCAGTATACGTGTAGTAAGGACAAATCAGAAGATTTGCCCCAAATTGTCACTGCGTTAAAAGAATTGTCCTATCAGAGAGCCTGAAAGAAAAATTCACTAGCTTGTCAGTGACAATTTGTATTGAAAAAAGTTTGGAGAAGAGAAATAAAGGTGTAGCAGATCAAATACCGCTACCCTGTAGATCCGTAAAGCGTAAAACCGTTTAGAGTTTAGGCTGTTTTCTTTTATTCTTATCATCGCTGCCTGTTCGTGATTTTTATCAAAGGATGTTCTACTTTTTTACCATGGTTCGTGCATGACAAAATATTTTACAGTGAAGTGCTCAGGTGACGGTACCTGTAGCCGACTTTTCGTGCGTTGGGGTTTAGTTAGCTAGATGGCGTCCCCTGGACGATTTGATTTAATATTATTGAATATTTCAGCGCAGTTTTTTCTGTTGGACGCCTGCCACGTTTTTGGCTTTACTTTTTTGAAACATTTTACTTAAGTTGAAAGTTTTGAGGTCTTATATAATCTACAGAGTATTCCTCTCGTGGTATGCCTGCCTTTTAGGTATGTATTACTAGAATTTTGATTACTATTGACCCCTGAAAGTCTCGCTACAAAGGTATATAGATAAAATATCAAATATCTTTGGACGTTTCGGGACCGAATCTGTTCCCGTTTCCAACATAAAAAATGGTTATTTGAATAGCAAAGTCGTATCTGTCTTGAAACTTTTCAGTTCTCAGTGAAAATTTGATATTTTTTCTATATACCTTTATTTCTCTTCACCAAACTTTTTTCAATACAAATTGTCACTGACAAGGTAGTGAATTTTTCTTTTAGGCTCTCTGATAGGAAAATTCTTCAAACGCAGTGACATTTTGGGGCAAATCATCTGATTTGTCCTTACTACACGTATATTGAAATAATATTCATATTTTTATTTTATGGAAACGAGGAGAGAAAATCCCAAAAAATTTGGAATAATGAATGTACCACCTCCTCGATCAACCTACAGACAGTATTTAACTCATATCACTAATTCTCAATTCAAGAATACTCACAGATATCACAAAAAACAGTTATATAGGTACTTATAAGATTCGAGTATACAGGGTGTTTCATAATTGAATGTCAATATTCGAGGAGGCGATTCTTGGGCTCATTCTAAGAAGAAAGTTTCATATGAACGTATGACCTAAACGTCCCAACTTTGGAGATACAGGGTGGTAAAATTCTCGAAAATTAATATAGCCTACTACAATGAGAAGTTATAATTCGAAAATACCAAATACGAATACAAAGTTCATGAACTATGAATTGTATTTCTGAAATTTGATCTTAAAAATAAAAACTATTTCTCTGCATTGTGATATTATCATATTAACAATATTACTATAATCATGTAGTGAAAAGCTTTTTATTTTTAAGCGAAAACCGTGCATCAGATTGAAAAAATTGTAGTGATCAAATTTGCTTAGAAATGATCGGGAATTTCAGGAATGATTTCAATTTGGAGATTAATCAGTGGCGTACCATCAATGTCTGCCAAAATAGGTATGTGAAATTCCATACGAACGCCACTGGTGGCAACAACAAAAAATGTGGTACGCTAACTGATGCCTCTTGATACATAGTACATGTATGCCAAATTTCATCAGAATATCTGAAGTGGTATTACAGATATTAATAAAAAACTATTAATTTTTGAGAACTTCACCACCCTGTATCTCAAAAGTTAGGATGTTTAGGTCATACGTTCATATGAAACTTTCTTCTTAGAATGGGCCCAAGAATTGCGTCCCCAAATATTGACATTCAATTATGAAACACCCTGTATAAAAAACGGGAACGAATAGTAAATATGAAAATCAGAAATACAAAACAAATATAAAAAATAAATGTAAGAAACAACATGTTATGACAGAGGTTTATAAATAATTGAATTTGATCTGAATCAGATAAAGTATCGTTCTTTTTTGGTTTATACATATCATTAGTACATATACGTATGATGCAAATGTATGGAATAAATTCATTTTAAAACAAGACGACTTCCGAAAAAAATCCAAAAACTAGACTTCAGAACTTTATTAATTGATGTATTATTTTATATAGACGACCCTTCGTTGTTCAATTCTCAGTAGCAGACCTCTGCACGATTCAGTTAATCAAATGATAATCCATTTTAATTTCAAATTTCTCATGCAAAATTTTGACTGTTGAATAGATGATCAGTAGACCTTTCAAACGAGGTGTCACATGACCCCTGTTTTCATTTTAAAAATTCGTTCATTACGTCATTACTCCAACACCGGTGACGTAACATCTCTTATAAGGATATCATGAGATGAGGCTTCAGAAATGAAACCTCACGTGTTTTTGGAATTTTTCCAAATGTCGCCCATTTCCGAAATGATGAATTTATTCCATACATTTGCATCATACTGTACTATGTACATTTATTACTTATTTTGTGAAATTAATTTGAACAGAGCGTGCCGAAATATCATGTAATTTGTAAGTTTATGTGATTGACTGAAGATTAATATTAATATAGATAAATATAATGATGAATAAGTGTCAAAATATTTTTCAGTAGGTTATGAAATGTTTCAGTAGATCAGTAGATCAAAATGCGAATCAGGAGGTTTACTGAAGATTGAGTAGAACTGGCAACCCTTCAGCGGACGAAAAGTTTGTGTCTGCGGAAGAATTTTCGAAAATGTAATTTTTTGTTGACGTCGACGAAAAACCTCTTTCCATATTCATATTATTCATATCGTTTTGTCTTTTCTAATAATAAAACCGAGAGACTTTCGCTCACTCCATCTCCGACCTGACCTCTCGCGTCTCTTCCAGAACGGCTTCCAGGTGAAATCGATGGACAATGGCGAGGGGCGGGCGGAGGGCGGCATGCGGCTGACCTGCCACCTGTTGCTGCGCCTCTTCCGCACCGCCGACGGCCCTCAGCCCGGCCTCTACTCGGTCGGCTCGCCGCCCCTCACCGCGCCTCGCCCGCCCCTGGGCGTGCGGCTGAGCTGCGACCGCCATCTGCTGGCCGCCGCGCACAGGTGAGTGAGAGAGAGAGAGAGAGAGAGAGAATATGCCTTATTGTCTAAAGATGTAAAATCTCATTGACAAAGTAAGTAAAAAAAATAACCTTGAAATAAATATCAAGACTAGAACAAGAGGAAATCGCTACTATAATAACACAACATTTTAATAGTATATTATGTAACAAGTGTTATAAACGTCCTTTTAGTAACGAGTAGTTTAAGCACGAGCGGAGCAGAGCGGAGCGAGTGTTTAATAAACGAGTGTCTAGAAGAGTTTATAAACGCGTTACATACTATGATTTTTCTACGAACTCCAAAAATTACATTAATTAACATACCTGCTATTCCTGCTAACCTACAAAATAATTCGAAAGGAATGGGAATTGAGAACATAATACATACAACTGCATGCAACCAGCGAGACACGTATGTGATATTGGTTGTAGATCTGTCCAGTCCATTGCTTACTAACCTTTGTTTCACGTTTATTGTCATGCTTAGCGCAGAATAAATCAATTGTTCTCAAAGATGGATGCTTCATTTTTACACTTCTTGGAGATATGCAAGTACCAGAACATTATTCGATTTCACTTATTTCGTCTACATTTCGCAAATATTTTCAATGAAGAATTCTGATACAAACGAAAATTGTTCGAATAATTCTGATACAAAATTTGAAAACAACAGTTGACAGTTAATACAATTGACAGGCCAAATATGTCTCAAATTACTGGAGCTGTGTTTAATGAACTGTGTTGCCATGGTAACGTGTTTAAGAAATCGTGTTGCCATGGTAACGTGTTTAATATTCTGAATAAATCACAGATCGTCAATCCGTGATTAATCGATCATTTAGCGTGGTACTTATTCGTACGCTAAATGCCATATTAGTCATGTGAGTAGAAAAAATCTATTTGAACACTTATCTAGTTCATAAGGGACACCTTACACATATTAAAATATTCCTAATAAAAATGGTTTTATGGTTAAAATGTATCATCAAAAAACTCTTGTAAACTATAATAGGGTTTATCCGAAAAGAGTGCTTTTATTCTATGTTTGAATTTTTTATTGGATCCAACTTCCTTGGTGTCTTTTGGCAAATGATTGAACATCTTACATCCTACATAAATTATTGAATCTTTAACTAGAGCCGATGATGAAATTGGTAATTTAATGTTACCTGCTTGTGAGTACGTGTAGGGTCCCTTGATGTAAATTGCCGTATTTGTCATCCTTTTTTTTTTCAATGTTCTGGTTCTCACGAAAAGGGATATCCTGTAATGTTCAGAGAACATCGTGAGAACCAAGGGAAATGAAGTAGGAATTGGTGTTCTTCTTGAATTTCTGGAGGTTATATGCCTCGGGTAACACCTCCCTTGGCAATGTATTCCAGAGCCTCGCTGTTCGTTGGATAAACGAGTCTTTGGAAATAGAAGTACTGCTGGTCTCCAAAGTGACCACGAAGGGGTGCGAAGCCTCAACTCGACGGGTTAATCTCGCGGGGACTGCCAAGGGAGGGACAATTATTGTTGATATTTCAGAAGAGCATCGTCCATGAAAATATCTATAAAATAGAGCCAGATCGCCAACTTTTCTACGGTGTTCCAGAGAAGTGAGTGAGTTTGTGAGCAATGCATCACCCACGAAACGAATTGCCTTTTTTTCGGACAGAATCCAACAGTTTCAGGGTATGTTTGGGTGCTGCACTCCAAATATGGGAACAGTATTCCAGGACAGGTCGGATCTGTGCCTTATAGATCATAAGCAGCTGACTGGAAGTGGAATAACTCCTGACCCGAAATAGAAAACCAAGTGGATCTTGACAGGAATTCAAAAAATGTATAGGGTTAGGATAAAAAAATAAATAATTCAGTTCAGCAGAGGCCACTAGCTTACTGAAAATGTGGTTGATAAGAGCAATTTTCGCATTTTTTTTTTCAATAAAAAAAAATACCTCTCGCCTACTACCTACGCTTCCATTTAGAACGACAACGCCTCGTGTGTCATAAGTTGCGTTTTATTTATCCGATTCCGCCACCGGAATCATTTTGATGTGTTGTTTTATTTGCAACTTTACCGATTCCGGTTGCTACTTTTCATTCCGTCTCACTACATGGAATGATGTGGAATAACTGTGGACAGTTGTCAAAAAATGGAATTAGATTGACGAAAATCGAAACTTTTCGAGAGTAGAAGACATTTAGAATACATTTTTATCGTGAGGTTCATGATTTTATGATTCTTTCAAGTAAGACAGGTTTCATATCTTCATTCCCCGATAAAACGAATCCTCTCGGTCTCAGAGAATTTTCTTGAAGCACCACAATCACTGCTCCTAATATGCGTTGCTTCATTTAATCCATTTTCATGATTTTCAAATCTAGTTTTATGATATTGAAATTATTCGGAGCCCAAATATATGAATATAACCCCTTTGATTTATATTATGTCAAATTCTCTAATGCGAGGTCATGAAGCTTCTCGTTTTGTTAGTCGTTTTATTTAAAAACGTAATTCTGTTCCCACCACCGTTACCAGAATGGAGCAAATAAAACGCAACTATAATGGAATGCATGAGTCTAATAGGCCTTTTCATTTAGATGACAAATGACTATCTCTGTTTACATCTCGCATCCATGGACAGTGGCGGCTATTTTCACCGAAACACTTACACCACAGTACCACACTCCTCAGTAACGAATAAGTAACGTCTTTTTAAAATTAAATTATTATAATACAATTAATAAACACCAGGAATATAAAAACAGAAATGCTATGTTGTTATTGTTGTTTCTCAATGACGAATGCCCATGGTGGTTGACACTGTTGACATTTGACAGAACGACAATAATACTCGCCATATTCGAAATGGCCAATCAGCATTTTGTGTTGGAACTATAGCCAATGAGACTTCACCTTCGCATTACCCAATGAATTTTCGGATCTAAAAACGAGCGCATGCGTCTTGAAAATATATCTAGATGAAAAGGCCTATTCGTACAGGAACATCCACGTGGGTCCCGTTCTGGCCGTACTCAAGGCCGTCCTGATAGTGGGAGATGCCACCGCCAAAGAGGGCACCGAGCTGAGCCTGAGCAACATTCTGGGCACCAGCGATCTGCACAGCGGCGGTGATGGGCCCAGTCTGGATTTGCCGTGAGTTGATGATGAACAGGATGTTTATTAATATGATTAATTAGTCGCATTCTCGCAGAGTGACAGGAAAGTAGTTGTTTTCTATTGAATCAACTGAAAAAGAGTAAATATTTTCATCACATAGAGAATGCGAATTCTCAATGTATTGCTTTATATAAATATATATCCATTTTTGTATGTTCATAATTTATCTGAGAATATTCCTTTTCAACACTGTCTATTGATAATTTTGATTTTTCGGAAAGTTTATTCAATAGCTTGACATTGGATGTGAACTATCCTTGTTATAGTAGGAGAGTCGGCTGCAATTTTGACCTACATCTGATAACGAAATGATATACAGAGAAGTGCACAAAAAACGGCCAGGATTGTAACTTTTGAATTATTCTAGATAGTGTTTTGAAAATTGGTGGGTAGCAAGTATATCAAATTGCTCATTAATGGAACATGATGGAACAATTATTCTTCTATCACTTCCAGTTTCACATGAAACGACCCCAACTGTTGATTTTTAAATGGGATTCTATTCTATAATCGGGTAGGGACTATCATGACGAATTCAACGATACCCTAAAGGGTGTGACTTCGCAATATCAAAACTTCTTTCTTTGTCACACTATCCAAAATTATTGAAAAATGGCACTTCTCAGTGCGGCAAATTGCACTAAATTTGGCGATTTGATACCGATTGAATGGTAGATCTCAAAAACCTACATGTGTCACCCCTTGAGTCGAATCCACGGCACAAAGATTTATTTGCTTCCCTTATTCCGGACAAAATTTCGTCATGTGATAAAGAGTTCAGACGAAAAGCAAATAGAAAGGGATAATGCCCCCTTTGCGAATATCCAAACGTGCCGTGATTCAAAATGATCTAAGCTAGTGACAGAGCGTCAGAGCGTGAATATTCGATGGACCAGCGTAAAAATCTCCGGAATAACGATACGAAATAGGGTTTTAATATCTACCATTCAATTGTTATCGGATGGCATAACTCTTATCTGGTTATCAAATCGCGAAATCAAGTGCGAATTACGGCACAGGAAAGTGTCATTTTTCAATCATTTAGCTCAGGATAGAAATCGGCACAGGTGCCGTTCGATTAAATACAATGTTTATACATGCCTTTGAGACAAATTTTATATCGTTTAGTTATCAGATGGCAGTCGAAATTTGCAGCCTGCTCTTGAACTATTATAAGTCTGGCTCAAAAACAAATGCGATGTTGCCAGTTGTAATTTGAAACTTGACTGAAAAAGCTAATCAAATCCGTTAGGAAACTTCGAATGAGGATTTCATGTTACTAGACTAGTAATTTTATTTGATGTTATAATCATTAACTTTGCCAGTGCAGTATGTAGGTATGTTTCGAGTTTAGCTATCATTTCAGACATTCCTGAAAATGCGTTCATGGCTGTTTGACTTCTTGCTTCAAAAACTCCAATTTTGCCGTTAGTTACGGTCATTATATCCAGGGACGTCCTACAGGGAGCTGTAATACTTTTTTTATCCATATTTTCTACGCCATTGATGAGATTCTCATTAGTTATTTTTGCTGTAAAACCACAAAACCTTCATCTTGCATAGATATATTTCATAATTTTAAATAGTAGACTTTTTTTATATATGGAATAACTTTTTTCTTGAGTTACAAAATAAAAACTGAGAAGTAACTGGCATATCAATTTCACCGTATAGATAAAAGTATTCCTAATAAATGCCTATGCAAGCTTTTATTTAATGTCAGATACGGTTGTTTCGAGTATATTTATCTTGTATTTCTTTCAACAGGGATTTTGATGAATTCAAATTTGATCAGTGGCATCGAAAATATGGAGGAACATGTACCACAGCCCCATGTAATGCAAAACTGGATAAAATGTCCGAAATGTCTGTCTCGTCAAAAGATGAGCATGTGAAGTGTTGAATACAACCTATAAAACTTCAGGAGCTTCTCAGAAATTACATATTACTTTTGGGTTGGAGTTCAATGAAGAATTGGAAGTTAAAATATTTTTAAAATCCGTGAAATAGCTATTCCCTTTGAAAAATCTTGACAACATTGTGCAATCTACTATATTTTAGGGCGAACACAAATCTGTATAGAAAGTGTATAATTTTATCCAACTTTTATTACCAACAAAAGTATTTGATGACTTACTAATTATAATGTTATAACACTGTTTTGTTATTTCATCATCAGCTGGGAGAAAGAGTTACATCACCTTGTGCACCCACATTTGAATCATCATTGAGAATAAATAATCGAATTCAATTAAATATATATTTCATACAGATATACATTCAGACACTCTTGTGTATAGAAGTTTCCTTGAATGCTATTAGTTTTAATTTGATTTTTAGTTGTTTTTCTTTTCATCAGGATGAACGTGGATGTGTGCGGATCGAGGACAACACATAGGTTTGTCACAAGATAATCAAATTTCTCTATCATAAGCTTTGCTTTGAATGTGTCACCCAATGCTTGCACCATCTTGTTGTTTGTCCCCTGGTTGCAGTGCTTCACGTATTACGTGTTTATCCCGGATTGTGAGACATTAGGATATTCATTTTTCCAACAACCATTATGTTTTGTCCTTTTACAGAATCAATATTTCAGGTTATATTGCTTATAGCTTCATAGCTTCATTTCATAGATTAAACACTCTCTGGATAGGCCATCTATCGGTAATAGTGCGAATGGACCTATTTTGTACACACACAAAATTTATTGCGAACTACTAACCCTGGAAGCTGTGTGATTATTTTATGAATAATTATTGAAATCCTTGATATTTCAAAACTACTCTCGTCTCTCGATTATTTTAGGATCGGATTCAACAGGGCTCTGAAAAACAGATTTGTCCTGATACCGAAAAATGACTTGCGAAAACTATGGTTGAACTGATGATTATTAACTCGCATTGAAGCGTTGCCAATGGATCCTGTATTCAGTAAATTCCAAATAAGAATATAGTAGGTAGCGCTGCTTCTGAGGGTATGTTCACGCTGGTAAAATGTGAATATGGCGGCTTATTTAAAATCATGAACTATGCACAAATCAAAAAACGTCAACGCTTTCCTATGGCTTCTAATGCTGTTTTCTCAGTTAGAATGGACTGAAGGAGTGTTTTTAATCTATGTTCTCATGAACTTTTCTGTGGGGGACGAGAAATATTTAATGTCTTGAATGAATTCAACGATGATGTTTTCCTTACACATTTGTAAATATATATAGCCTGAAATATCTATACCTGCTGAAAATAGAGCTTTTGTGAAAATCCCCACTGACCTTCCTACTTATTCGACAGCACACAATACAGTGCACTGGTTCTCTTCGCCATGTTTCTTCTGGTTTTTCATTGTGGACACACTAATTCAACCTACAGACATTACTTTTCTAGGAATGTTGGTACTGATACCTGTGGAGTAACTGTGTTGTATATAGCTAAAAACATGTGTTTCCTATATTCCTCATCATGAATGGTGTCATATTTTTTTGTGATTAAAATGACAATTAATTCACCTTCATACAACCCTACTAATAACACTCAGATAACTTGCGGGGAATATTATAGCTTGACATGATCTGCACAATAGATACATACGCTCCCATACAATATGAAAAATATATTAGTAGATATTCGAAATATTCATAGCGAAATAAAAATGAATAAACACATAAAAAACTTTATATAAAAAAATCACATAACTAAATGAATTAATAAATGATCTATAGAAACATTGATGAAATAAAATAGAACCATCAAACTGTATAATATCTAGATTAATCATCTCAGTATATTTGGGGGAGGTTCGAGTCTCTCAGGCTGATGACCTGAATAAACTGATTAATTTGGATGAATTGGTTTCTTTTGAGAAATATAAGGAAAATATGTTATGTATCAACTTCTACTTATCGATAATTATATAAATCCTATTACAAATGGCGCAGTCGTTAGGATGAAAATGCTATGGATACTTGGCTACTACTATGGCTGCTATAAGCTACTTATCCCTGTGTGAACTTTTCTATATGTGATAATATAAAATCATCACATAGTATATATAGATCAACTAGTTTCTGGAACTGAACTGGAATAGTATTTCGATAAATTCGAAGAATTCAAATTTCTCTTCTACTTCTTGATAATTATAAAAATCCTATTACATAGTATTAGTATGATGGCACTGTTACAAATTTAATTCCTTTATAAAAAACAGGAACTGCTACAAATTTCAGTCTTTCAATATAACAATGTATAGATATTTTCCCGAGTATTTTCCCATTTGGTATCGTCTTTAAAATTGTGTTTAAAATATTGTTTTGATATAATAGACGACTGGACTCGAAGGATTTTTCATTCCATTCAAATTTGTATGTTTCAAATTATGTGCTAATTCGTTGTTCATAATATTGTTGACAATTTGGTGCTAAACATAGAATTAAAAAAAAATCAGTTAACTCATATATTCCTATAGTATTCATTGAAAAAATTGAGAACAGCGAAATGATGAGTTGTTTATTGATAATTCCACATATAAATATAAACATTCGGCACTCTTTCAGTAGCTTTATATGCCTTGGATATTTAACAAACCGTTCAGAAGTGTCTTTCTCTATCGCGAAATATTGAACCATGAGAAGACGACTTGAAATACCATGGACTTTGACCATGGATCAAAAGCTTCCATTTCTATCTTATTGTGCAGATCAAAAAACATTCCTACCTGCATGTGTTTCAGTGAGTTTTCTCATGAATCCAAGTGATTCCATTTCCACTGTACTGCACCAAAAGTAATAACAATCTTAATGCCGAAATGAACATAACCTGAACATTGTACAGAAATCCTTACTGATTGGCGCTCCATTGTATTATTAACCTTGAGAAACGAAACAAAATTAAACGGAAATAATCCGAAAGTTTTGAATTTTTATAGGAATCTTTGTACTGGCTTATTATGCAATGTGTTAAAAGTCCAGGGAAATTCAAGGTGAGGAATCGTTGTCACCTTGAAAAATAGGTGCACTTGAATGGCTGTCTACAAAAAAGTTTGATGATTTTTTTTCTTTGCTATGTAAATGAACTACGAAAGTCGTGTAGGTACTGCACGAGCATACGATTAAACTATCGAGAGGTTATAGCATTATTGTATCAAAACTCAATGTATATACAATGAAGAAGTTGTTTATCACATTGCTTCACTCTCTTCGATTATCGAGAAATGTGAACTCTAAAAGTGATATAATCCTCGATTCTGATTCATTGCCTCTAATTTTTTTTACTAATTTTTCTATAAATTTGATGAATGACAAGTTATGCATTAAAAAACATTACAAAGGGCACTTTTTTCAGGATAACGGTGATTTCTCGCCTTGTATCCTGCAGTACATTTAACACGTTAAAAAGGAAAACCAAAATCAACAAGTTTCCAAACTTTTCTATTGGACATCGTCTATTTGCTGCCTTTCGGTCTTCGTCGCTTAGGCCAATCCCGTTACATTTGTTTGTAGACAATCTAGTACAGGCAACGCCGAGAGCACCGCCTCTCTTTCCGCGTTCGCTTGTCACGTGCTCAGGGAAATCTGCTCGCAGCAGTGGGTGCTCGAGCGCTGCCTCTCCTCCGACGAGCTGTGTCACGTGGACAACCTGTTGGACCCGCTGCTGTCGCACTCCCAAGCACAGAGGCTGCTGCACATGATCTGCTATCCGGACGCCGGCAGCATCATAGACGCATTGGATCAGAAGTCGATGATCACGAGGATCTTGGAGGTGAGGATGAAATAATAATAACATTTATTGATCCCAAGAAACATACAATGTTTATAGAGGGACACAAAAAAAATATACCAGGTGACACAGAAGACATTGAAGAGTTGAAGATTTGAAATTCACAAGGGTTATATTATCGATTATGGCGCTTCCTTTGAACCCAATGACAATTTTCTTCAACCACCTGTTTGATTGGAAGTAGACTTCTTTTTCAAATGACACCCTATATATTTCTGTAGCCTATCTTATTTGCCTTGAGATTGTCTATTCAACTATGTATCACAATTTAATATTCGTTCATTAATTGGCTGTTGAATAGGATTTTATTAAAATACATGAAGTTGACTGTGGCCTGAATACAATAAAATTTCGATGCTTGATAGGCTTAGAAAGCCAAAGATCATTACTTAGACGATATTATCAGAATATGTTCCATACCCTTATCAGTCCCCGAAGATTGACAATAATTTCATTGAGTTTAAAAAAATCATTCGAAAATAACTCACGATATTGAGAAAACTGAGATAGAAACTCAGTTTTTTCATTTGGCTACTTCTTTAGAAACTATTTGTCTTTCATTTTTGCCATGTAGCCATGATATGATCATCCATTTGGATACATGTGAAACTGAAATTGTTGTAATAATTGATGTATCGTCCTAATACATCTGTTCATGAATCTACATTAGTGTATTTTCAGTATCATTTCGCTTAGAAGGCGGTTATAAAAAATGTCTAGTTCGACAGTTATTTATTCTTGACATCTTGCTATGTATAACATGGTCTATTCATTTCATGAAACTAAAAAAAATTCAATAGGTACACAGAAGTACCTACAGTCTGTCGGTTATTCATTTATATCATGATTCTGAAGGATTGTGAGTGTATATAGGTAGAAGAGAACGTACGCTTCTTCAATCACAGCCAACTTCATGTATTTCAATAAAATGCACTTAACCAACCAATTAATGAACGAATATCAAATTGTGATACATAGTTGAATAGAGAATTTTAAGAAAAATAAGATAGGCTACAGAAATATACAGGTTGCCATTCGAAAAAAAAAAAGTTGGGTCTACTACCGATCAAACAGGTGGTTGAAAAAATTGTCATTGGGTTCAAAGGAATAACTTAACCCTGGTGAATTTCAAGTTTTTATCTCTTCAAATAAAAAAAACTACAGGCTGTTACATGGCTCCTATGTCACCCGGTATATATCAAATATGGAAGATAAACCGTTCAATCAGAATTAATTGATACATGGAGACAGTTAAATTGATAAAATATATTTCTCCTGTTCACACTTAAATTTTAAGACGAACCTAATAGATTTTATTGTGTTGGGTAGTCTATTATAAATATTTATTCCACAAAAATACGATGATTTTTTTCCGAATTGGGTTTTTATTTTGACAGTTTCCAAATGTTCACTTTGACTTATGTGATGCTCATGGGTATTAGAATTGATATTGAAAGTAAGATTCGAGTGCTTCTTCTTATTCTTAGTGGAATGAATGAAAATGCATACTCTCATTTTGAAGAGAGTCAATATCTAGCAGATCCCTTGGTTTGTATAGTCTAGATGTTGAATCCAGACATGGTATCAGATACTGCAATTCAGAGTAAATCAAACTGAAATAAATTAATTTCAAGTGTTTAAGAGGTATGAGATACCTCAATTTATATAATATACCAACAATGGGATATAATTTTTTTTCTGAGCAATTGAAATGCGATGACCAATATAGAGACTGGTCTATAGTTGAACCTAAGAGTTTGGAGTTTTTTGTAGGATTTATACAAAAATTCCCGAATTTTAAAGGACCTATTTGGTTATCAGGTATAACTCTTTTCGAGATGAACATAGAAAAAGTTTTATCGAAATTGAGAATTTATCATCTTGTAAGCATAATGTAATTGAAGCGAGATCTTTTTCAGAATTTGGAACAGTGGACCCTGCGTATGTCCATTCTCGATCTTCAACTGATGTATGAGCAGTTTAGTCCCAACTCGTCTGAACTGTCTCAATGGCTCGATACGGTCGCCAAAGCCGCTATCGATGTCTTCCAAATCAACGCCCCGTATGATTCTCCGCCACAAGAAGAGAAGAAGAACGACAAGAAACAGCACAATTCGATATGGTTGGTGGCTCCATTGATATCAAAACTACCTCCTGCAGTTCAAGGTCAGTTTTTCATTGTAGAATTTCATATTGTTCCATAGTTTGAATATTCATCTTTTAGTGAGCGTGTTGAAGTAATACTTATTTGTACATAATTACGAGATTATATTCAGAGAAGAGGGTAATATATATATATATATATATATACATGTCTGCATCTCTCAGAGAGGCCAAGATCGTTACTGTGCAATGCGCATGTCAACTTGTCAACATCACACAGTTGTATAAGGCGATAATTTTGAAATACTATAGCTGCAATCACTGAACTTTAGTAAAGGAAAAACGAATAAGTGGCTTTTGTGGATCAGTAATGAGAGCACTGAGGACTGAGGTAGCTAGTGATCTACTTTCGGTTTATTACAAATTTCATGTCATGGTTTAGGTTTATTGAAAACATGTCACAGAATAATTTGATTTGTATACGATAAAACGAAAACGTTCAGTGTGAATAAAGACACTATTTATTGGAAAAGAAAATCAACTAAGTAGGTACAGTTGAAATAAACGTCACATCCTTCTAGTGTATAGGAGTCAATCAACTGCATATTAGCAGGAGGTGGTCTTTAGGAAAACCAACACATTAACTATTAATCGTATGAAAAATATAATATTGCTACCAATGAAAAGATATGTTTTTTCCAGTTCTTGAAGAATAGTGTTTTCAAAGTATGCAGCATTAAATCATATTGCAGCTTTTAATTCTGTCAGCTGTCAGCTGTATTCAGACAGAGATTAGTTACCTACCTAGTCAAGCAGCACTGAAAGCACTTGAATCAAACTGCTTTAAATCCAGAGCAGAATGGAACTGCAGAGAAACCTTAAACCGACTGGATAAAATTGATACTTTGCCATCTACTGATTAGTCCCTGTGGCTCTTTTTATGACTTGATCGATTTAGCATTTTTTGATTTTTTTAGTATGTTTTGTTGTCGTTGTTGTCACCTTATATTATTTTATCATCGTTGTTTGTAATCAACTTCCTCATACCAGAATTCTATTTCTGACTGGAAGCTAGTTTCTCAATAAACAATAAAAAACAACGCAAAAAAGTTAACCTAGTCTGGAAACCAGGTCACACGGGCCTAGAAGGGAATGAAACAGCGGACGTCCCAGCAAAAGGGGGGACCGAAACATCGTTCACTAGGCCAGAACCGGTAATCGGTATAGCATAGCATACTGGGCCGACAATGAAAGACTCAAGTATTGGCGTAGTTTACCGGGCCTATGTTATATATTATAATCATCCTGTTAGTGAGGATTCATTCTTCTGTTTCATGACAGATGCATAGTGATAATATGTTTATAAATACGTCATGTTAATAATTCAATTTTCAAAATAAAGATTATTCAATACACAATAATTTGGCGACGAGGATAAAGAAAACATAAGTATAATACCTCGATAACATAGCAGACAATACCAGTATCATCGCAGTCTTCGAAAATAAAACATTGATAATTTCAAATATGGCTCAAGACCTCGCACCCCTAATAACAGCTCTCAGTGGTTTAGTAAATTCCCTTCAAGAACAGCAAAATAAACCATCCACAGTGAAAGATATTCTTCAACGGCAAATACTTACTTTCGAACCTTTCGACGAAAATTGTGAAAATTTTGATAGTTATTGTCAAAGATTAGAAAATTTCTTCAAACTGAAAGGACTCGATAAACAAGATAAAGAAACGAATGATGCTAAAGTAATGGTTCTAATAAATTGCTTAGGTAGCAGACACTATAAACTTATATCCAGTTTGACATCTCCAGAACTTCCAGCTACGAAAAGTTACACAGAACTCATAACCCTTCTGAGAAATCATCTTGCACCCAGACGGAATGTACTAACCGAACAACATAGATTCTTCTCAAGAATTCAATCACAAGGAGAATCAATTTCCACTTACGTTGCTACACTGAAAGATCTCATTAAAACATGCGATTTCAAGACCGAATGTAATCAAAATGAATGTTCAAAAAGAGTCCTCAACATGTTGTTAAGAGCACAATTCATAAGAGGTTTGCTTGATTCTAGTACGAGAGAAAGAATCCTACAATTAGTCGATGTTTCTTTCGAAAAAGCACTGGAAACTGCACTGGCGATTGAAGCATCTCGAATACAAAACCGAGAAGTTTACGAAAGCTGTTCAAATTCGTCTAGAAATGTGCATAAAGTAGAATTTCGTCAAAGCCGTAATCGTTCCAGATCGAGAAGTAGAACTTTATCAAATCAACACACCCACAATCATTCCAGCTCACATTCAAAAGCAAGCAATCGAAACCTGAATTTACAAAAACTTGGACTCACAGGATTATGTCTCCATTGTGGCAAGAACAACCATCAATCACAAAACTGTTTTGTCACAGAAAAACTTCGATGCAAACTGTGTAATAAGAAAGGTCATATCGAAAAAGTTTGTATTTCATCAATTCTCAAGAAAAATCCAGCTTCAATCAAAAATGTCACTGACACTGTCACCACTGACTTTTCTGACGAAGAATTTTCAATAAATCAAATAATCGATGTTTTCAAAGGCACTGCATCCTTCGATGATTCAAAAATCATTATACAGGTTGAAATCAATAACAAACCTTGTAGTTTCGAGTGTGATACAGGAAGCCCTGTCACAATAATTTCAAAACATGATTTTGATAAACTAAATCTAAATATTCCCCTCGAGAAAACAAACATTTGCTTTCGATCTTATACGAAACACCTCTTCAGACCTTTAGGCTTCATCAAAGTATCCGTTTCGTACAAGGAAAAACACTTTATAGGAGATTTATATGTCGTTCCTGATTACGGTAGTGCCATCATGGGAAGAAGATGGGTACGAGCTTTAGAAGTCAATATTCATGATATAGACTCAATATCCAGTTATCAAACACCAATATCAACCATTTTCGAACAATTCGAAGATGTTTTCCAACCAGAAGTAGGCAGAATTCCTGATTTCAAATGTTCCCTCAGTCTTCGCCCCGATGCCAAACCAGTCTTCATCAAACCTCGAAGAATTCCATACGCACTTCAAGAACAAGTTGAAAAGGAATTAGAGAAGTTAGAGAGTCAAGAGATCATTCAAAAAGTCGATCATTCTGAATGGGGCACTCCACTGGTTATCGTTCCCAAGAAAAATGGAGAAATTCGACTTTGCGCTGACTATAAAGTAACAGTGAATCATCAGCTTCAAGATAATCGCTATCCAATTCCAAGAATCGAAGATATCTTCAACAAAATGCAAAATGGTGAATTTTTCTGTACCTTAGATATTTTCAAAGCCTATTTACATATTCCTGTTGATGAAGAGAGTTCGAGAATTCAAGCCTTATCAACTCATAGAGGTACTTACTTGGCAAAACGATTATTTTTTGGTATCAAGACAGCTCCGAATGAATTTCACAAGATTATAGATCAAATTGTACACGATTTGGAAGGAACTACAGCTTATTTTGATGACATCCTAGTTCAAGGATCTTCATTTGAACAATGTAAAAATAGATTGATCAAGGTTCTTCTAAAATTACGTCAATATAATATTCATCTGAATAAAAATAAATGTAAATTTTTCGAGAAGAAAATAACATATCTTGGACACATCATCACCAAGAACGGTCTTCAAAAATCAGATGACAAAATCAAAGCAGTTATAGATGCACCTAGACCAAAATCTAGAGAAGAGATACAACAGTTCCTTGGATTGATCATGTACTATGCAAAATTCATTCCGAATGCATCAACAATACTATATCCTTTGAATCGTCTTCTGAGAAGAGATATAGACTACAAGTGGACATCAGAATGTGAAGCAGCATTCATTAAAGCTAAAAACGAAATAGCAAATGAAAGAATCTTAATGCCATTTACACCAGAACTAGAAGTTATCCTTGCTACTGATGCCAGTCCATTTGGATTATCCGGAGTTCTATCTCATCGTCTGAAGGATGGAACTGAGAGACCAGTTGCTTTTGTATCAAGATCGTTGACCAAAGCTGAATGCAACTACAGCCAACTAGATAAGGAAGCAACAGCTATCTACTGGGCCTTCAAAAAGTTATTCCATTATTTGTATGGTAGGAAATTCCTTCTCATAGTGGACAACAGACCATTGATGACAATTCTCAATCCTCAAAAACAACTTCCAGTATTATCTGCGACTCGACTGTTACGATATGCTCAATACATGTCAGGATTTGACTACACAATTCAATATCGAAAATCAAGCGAGCATACCAATGCTGATTATTTTTCCAGAAATCCGCTAAAATTATCCCCAGAAGAAGCGAAAAAAGTCGATGATGAACACATATTGAACATCAGTTCAGTAAATCAAATATGTAATGATATAGTAACAGCAGAAAAAATCAAATTCGAAACAGACATCGATTCAGATCTATCAAAATTGAAAAAAGAACTACTAAGTGGAACAAGAAAAGACCCAGAATTGTCATTACAAGACGGATTGATATTTCGAGGACACCGTGTAATCATTCCTAAGAAATATCAACATGCTATGCTACAGGAGCTCCATTCCACTCATCTTGGAATAGTGAAAATGAAAGCTTTAGCGAGAAACTATTGCTATTGGAGGAACATAGATCAAGATATAGAGAGCTTAGTGAAAAGTTGTATTGCATGCTGTAATGTAAAAAATAATCCTGGAAAGGCACCAACGCATTATTGGGAACAACCTACTGAGAATTGGCAACGAGTCCACATGGATTATGCCGGACCATTTTTGAATCATCATTTTCTTATAGTTGTCGATGCCAAATCAAAATGGCCAGAGATTGCTATGATTACAAATTCCCCAACAACATTTTCTACAATCTATCACTTACGAGAAATTTTCAGTAGAAATGGTTTGCCAGAAATACTCGTAAGCGATAATGCTTCTATCTTCAAGTCGGGAGAATTCAAGCAATTTTGCATGAGGAACGGTATTCTGCAAAGAACGATAGCACCCGGACATCCAGCCACGAACGGTCAGGCAGAAAGATATTGCCAGAC